CTTCACTGAGTTACGCAAGCCCCTTCGCCACGACAAGGCAGTGATCCATGAAGGGGAAGTGTCATTTAGCTTGATGTTAATCAGCTATTCCTGTGATTCCAGAATTGCTTTTACTATTTGTAGCAGAAGAAAATAGTTATTTTGAACATTGTCCAACAGCAAAGTTATTTAAAGGTCATACACCAAATTATAGATTAAAGAGAGATGATAAGAAGATTAATCTCCAAAACAGTAAAATGCTGTTGTGTATGCTACATAAATGGAATCCAATATGGTTTTTTCCTAGATATATCTTTAATTTTTGAGTCCAGGTTTGGGGATTGCACAGTGTGAGTCATACAAGAGGATATCTAGGAAGTCATCTGTGAATAATCTTCAAGCACTGCAGAGAATACTGTGGAGAAAGAAAGGGAAGAATGCTAGAGAAGCTGATGAAAAGATAGGGTGGCTAAGGAAAGGGGGTGGGGTAATATAAGCAGAGGATCTTAAGAAAAACAAGGGTCCAAGGAAACAATGGGTGGTAAGAGAAAGTAGATAAAGAAGGAGGCAGTGTAAAGTAAGACTGATGTAGTCTTTCATATGAGGCCTAGTGATGAGAAGAGCTTTGCACTGTTGACAGGAAAGTAAGGAGCAGGCAAAGAAGGAATCCAAGGGAGAGTAGAGTTGTTATCCCAGCTTTTGAGGACTCTGCCTGCTGTGTTCAATTGTCACTTTTGAAGTGTGAATTGATATCCTTGAGAGGTATGGCAAGTTCAAGGACCTGGGGTTGATGGTGAAAAGATTCATAATTTCATAATTAGCCAGCTATACTTTAGATGTATAGTCTTGTTATCAGCCTGAAAAGTTATTCCTGTATATATATACTTACACATATGTGCATGCATATACTCATACCTACATACAATTGAGACTAACTGATGAGAGCAATTTGATGCATTGAGACTTTTCAAGATATATGTCTTGGGAATCTCCATTCTAACTGTTCTATAATTTTGTTATGGTAGGCACCTTATTCCAAGAGCTCAAAGCAGAAATGGAGAATGTCTATAAGATTTATTGTGGAGACTATGACCAAGCTCTTCTACTGTTGGATATTTATAATAAGGAGCCAAGATTACAAAAAGAAATTATAGACACCTTGACTACCACTGTGTAAGTATACTTTTTGATGGTGGCAACCATACAACCCAGATTTCTAGCATGTTAACCTTTTTACTTTTCAAGAAGCTAGAAGCTATTTTAAAAACAATTTTAACATTAATATGATTGCCTCAATTTAATTTTATTTTTAAATTAAACAAGAGGTGTAAATACATAACTGTTCAATATAGTGAACTGTTTGGGTGAATGCACTGAATTGCGCATTTTGCACTATAGACTGAATACATGCAGTGAGTTGTTGATTACAAAATATGAACAGTTTGGTACCTAATACACATTATACAGCTTAATCTTGTTCTTGACTTATGTATAAATTTGCTTAATAAATATTCTTAGATAACTCTAGGTTTTATCCAGAGAGATATTTGTCCTTAGTTGCACATAGATAGTAGATGTACCTTCTGCTGTTTAATACCACATTTCCCTGTCCTGATGCTTCCCCGATTTATTGGAAGTAGAATTTCCTGGCCAACATGGCCTGTGGCTGTGTTTGCTAGTCAGTCCCAACTTGGCTAGAATGGGGAACCAAATGGGGAAGACTAATTTAATAGTTAAATTAACAGTTTTACTGGTAACTGGTTTTTAAAGGTATGTTTTTCTAAAGCACTCTAGATTGGGCAGTTTAAACTGCTAATAGACATATATAAATGTATATGCATTGTAAAAATGCAGGGATAGAAGTAAATGAGTAACTGATTACTTGCCCTTAGCAATGCATATTCATTTTTAAAAAAATCTCTGTTACTGTTAACTGGGACAGAGATGATGGTTCATCCAAATGTGAGAAGAATTGAGCCAGAATGAATTTCTTCTCTTTGGATTATTCTTTAGGATGAGGGAGGGAGGGAGGGAAGGAAGGAAGGAAGGAAGGAAGGAAGGAAGGAAGGAAGGAAGGAAGGAAGGAAGGAAGGAAGGAAGGAAGGAAGGAAGGAAGGAAGACTATCCACTACTTTGATGTGGTTGAAAAAGGACAGTATTGGCTCGCTGATTCCATTACAGGCACTGGTTCTCAGTCTCTCCTATTTCCTTTTTCCACATGTGAGAGAAGACTCAGTCTCAGAGTGAATTTATTAGCTAAACAAACATAGCCCTGGGTTTAATGAGGGAACCACATCTGTCAGTGGTAGGCAGCATTTGTGCCCTTTGGGTCACTCCATCCCTTCAGTTTGCTGAGACAGTTACCTGAGTAGGTGAGCATAGCTGTGAGAAGTGACAGCTCTCTTTCCAAATGACTCTCAATCCACATCCAAGCCAGAGGGTGTAAATCTGCCAATGTTCACACAGATCAGTAGTATATGGAGCAAATCAGCTAAAGCCAGTTGTGTCTAGTTTTGAACACAGAGGCCTTTTGCTAAAAATAAGTCATGGATATATGCAGAGGGCCAACTGGATCTGCAAATATGAGCTATGCTTCATCTTTCCACTGGATTTTTATTGGATTGAATTGATTTCCAGCAACTGGGATGCTCCATGAATTCATGGCAAGATTCAAAGCTTTAACCCATGCCCTTGTCCTTCACAGAATTCAGTGCCATCAGATAGGATGGTCATTAGGCCAAATGGGTTTTTAAAGGGATTAAATAAAGCTGTTTGGTATGCTTCTTGGTGGACAGCTTGTTGGGCTACTAATAAAAAGGCATTGTGCAAACTACACCACCTTTCTTTCTTTAGTGGGTTTTTTCCCAGGGAAGATGCCATGAAAAAATGGTATCTGGTAAAATTCTGTGAGCAAAACAAAGTTAATGAATATTAAAAGCCATGTTTGGAGACAGTTTTGTGGTGACATTGAATCATTACATTCAGAGGCAGCGTATCACAGAGTACCAGCTGCTGAGGACTCACCTGTTGATAAGCTTTCTAGAGGCCTTGTCAGCCATTTTTGAAACAGGATGCTGATATAGAGGGGCTCAGCTTACACATTTCTTTTCCCTACGCCTACCACCTAGAGCCCAGTGGCGCAGAGAACCTCATTCAATGGCTGG